GAAATCACTTACTTCTAGTTTAAAAAGCATATTATTAATCCAAGAATCACCATGACAAAATACGTTATATTTGCCAGGCAAAGTATACGTTCTTAGAATGTCTAATACTTTAGGGTGTATCACGGACAATTTTTCTTTAGCTTCAATATCAGTGACTAGATTTAGTGATGATTCAAATGATTCAAATATATGACTTTTTAATTTACTTTTGTCCAGAAAATTATCGTTATATAATAGATCTTCGAATTGAGATTTTGCTTTCATGAAGTCTTCCGGGTAGTCCCTCTCAAAAACAAATGACAAAGCGTGTAGTTTTGCTAATGCTGTCAAAACCGTATGCACTTTTGTGTAATCCAATTCAGACTTTGAGACTCTAACATCTGGTGACCAGCCATCTTCTATCAGGTCTTCCAAGATTATTACTTCTTTCTTTTTCTCATCACATGACACTAAACATTTTGGTAACATTACTTTATTATTAACGTTTTTAGTATCTTGTATTTTATTAAATATCGGTACAATAATTTCGTATACAGCTACTTCGCGTTCATGCAATTTGTGGAATAGCATTTGTCGTTCTGTATTCACTAATGTTTTCACTATAACTTTAACATTGTTATCTTCATTTGCTGTATCTGTAATAACAACTCTGAATGTATTAGCTATATAGCTTTCTCCTTTGCCACTGATTAAATCAACGTGGTATCTAAAATCGTCAATAGATTTTAATTTCGCTACATCGTTTAATACATCATGAAGTTCTATGCAATTAAATTCATCTGGTTAACTTATGTTAACGTCTAGTGACATTTTCAATTTAACAATATGTAACACTTCTAATCAAACGAAAGACGTATGAAGGAGTGTTTTAAAATGACTCGATCGATCGAGATAAGGTGTCGCGATAAAGACAGATATTGCCAGTTTTTATCTTCAATATAAATATGGCATGATAATGTAATTTGTCATAGGTTATCATTGATATAAATATCGTAAACGAGCCGTGTAAATATGCATTAAAGAATTAAAAAAAAAAGTATGTTATACAATGTTTCCTACATAACGATTATTGCATATTTCATTCATGAATAAAAAAGATACTTTTCATAACACAACAACTTAAAAAAAATCTGTTACTAATATATTATCAGGTCTGACAACGCCTTATTACATAGTATAAAATAAAGTCGCTGTCGCTGTCTGTCCGTCCCAATGTATGCTTAAATCATTAAAACTACTCAACGGATTTTGAAGCGGTTTTTTTAGTACATAGAGTGATTCTATCTATATTTATTTTTACTATATATGTATTAACTATACATATTTACTTACTTACATATGATACTGAAATTAATATAAATATAAATTGTGGTAACGGAAATTTATTTACAAAAAAGAATAAAAAAAAATAGTATAATGTAAAACATAATTTAAAAGCAATTTATTTTGTTTATTTATTTTACTGTTTAATCCCAATTAAAAAATAATTTATTCATGTAGGACATTTTAGCCGCTTCTAAACGTCAAATTATAATTTTTTTTCCCTACCGTCCAGTTCGGTATATAGATCCAACTGAGAAGAACTGGCAAGAAACTCAATTGAATTACCTTTTTTAGCGTGGTACTTGAACTGTCTACGAATATTATAGATCCGATATATAGATATATAAATGTATATGTATATATGTATGTTTAATATTATTGTAAAGTTACCACGTAAGTATTTGTACTACAAGAAAGAAGAAGAAAGAAAAATATTTTATTCAGTGCAATGTAAAAAATACAATATAAACAACAAACGAAAAAAAAAGAGCAAATAAAAATGTACATATAATTATACTTAATTTACCATAATTAAAAATAAACATAAAATAATCATTTTTTACATCCAAAAATGCACTGAAATGGCTCCACTCAGCTTTAATGTATGTCCTAGGTGAACATACAGAAGGGGGGGAGAGACAAAATTACAACTAATAAATACAAACCAATTATATATACTAGAAAGAACAAAATAGAATAAATATAAATATTAAACATATATATATATATATATATACAACTACTTTGCCGTAAGATTTATAGGTTAAATAGTACATACATAATTCTTGTATAGTTTTTTAAAGGTGAATAATGATACAACGCTACTACTTAGTTTGTTTGTTTGTAACACTTTATTGTACAGTAAATACATTTAAATTAACTAAAGATACAACGATCTTAAAAAAAAGATGTACAATTGCGTACTTATCCCAAATGAGGGATTTCTTCCAGTCAACCTTTGAATGACTGAAAGGGATTGTGGAGTGGTGGAAATATATATTAGAGTTGCTTCGATTATTCCCTATTATTCGATATTCGGCATTACTCGACATTTTTTTTGTTATTCGTCGATTACAGAATCATAGCCAGTAATATATGACATGCGGTGAATAAACGTCTAAAATAAACTTTGAATGAACAAAAAAGACAAAACGATGTATTCCCCGTAAAATAGGTTTAAGAAAATGGTTGCCAGCATTTAATAAAGAATTACTACAAATATTATTATATGAAACTTATTTCTTTAGATTTATTGTTTTCTTTTCTGATAAGCTTAGAAAAAACATACAGTAACAAATAAATGTGCGGTAAGTTCAAGAGTACTATGTACAAGCGTGATATTGTTATTTAATAACAATAAAAAATATTTTTAATATTCCCTGATTATGTCTGGGGGAGGCCTATGTCCAGCAGTGGACGTCTTCCGGGCTGCGATGATGATGATGATGTCGAATAACAATGGTGAGTTTTTCGACTATTCGCTATAACAACTATCCGCGGCGTATCTAATCTTATATATAAAATTCTCGTGTCACAGTTTTCGTTCCCATACTCCTCCGAAACGGCTTGACTGATTCTCATGAAATTTTCTGAGCGTATTGAGTAGGTCTGAGAATCGGCCAACATCTATTTTTCATCCCCCTAAATGTTAGGGGTAGTCCACCCCTAAATTTTTTTTTTTATTTTAAGGCAAAACAATGTTTGCCGGGACAGCTAGTATACACATATATATATACACGACAATAACAACAAAGGAAAAATAAGCAAATGCATTATATATAACTATATAATATATAACAACTAGAATATTAAAAAGATATTTAAGTATAATATATAGATATACCCACATATAAATAAAATAATAATGAAATGAGTTAATAATAGTTATTCTGAACGCTATGTAAATAAATTCTGGGACTTGGCTACTATAAAATATTTTTGTTATTTTCATTCAGTCGATAAAGGTAATCTGTCAGTCAATCGGGTGGTACAGTTTTATTCAAATGTCATTTTTTCCTCGGCTGACACTTTGAAATGTGTCAATCGTTCAATACCAATAATACAATATAAAAATCAAATACAGCACTTTATATCACTTAAATATTTGATCAACAATCATTTTTATTACAAACTAGCTATACGGTTTCGCATGGGTTTACATTTATAGATACTAATATTATAAAGCTGAAGAGTTTGTTTGTTTGTTTGAACGCGCTAATCTCAGGATTTTATTGGAAAAAGAATTTTTCAATTTCGAACCAGGGTTCGAATTCGATTGAATAATTCTTTTTGTGTTTAGGGTCAACCTTTTTTTTAATTACTTCATCCCTTTTCCGATAACTGAAATAAAAATTTAATTCTGAATATTATTCACGTATTGACGGATTTATTTTTATATATTGCGCCAAAACTGGTCACGTTATGTTTAATTTAAAATTTTACTGAACGTTCAAATCATGTTTTCAAATAATTGATGACATGGTGGTCTAGTGGTTTAACACACCGCTTTACTTCCGATGGTCGCGGGTTCATTACCCCTTCCGATCGATCCCCCGTCCAATTCAAACGGGGATCGATATTACGACGGCCTGGGCCGAGGTTCTTATTGATATGAACATACGTTTACATATTTTGACATTGGTACATTTAACATATATATATGTATGCACATATACACACACATACATATATATTTATTTATATAAGTTCAATGGACAAAATACCAAGGTAAAAGTACATTTGGCGGAGTTAACGATTTAAGCTAGTTTTTACCAGTCAACCACAGGCTGTGCAGAGAAACTGTAGGCAGTGCAGATGTAAACACATGTACATACACATACATGTTACGCAAGCCTAGTATAGAAAGACTGCTGCATTTGCACTGTCCCCAATAAACAGTGCACGCGGCACCAATGCTTGATCAGCAATGAGCATCACGCCATATCGCGTCATGCCTATAGTTACATTTCATTTTTATAGAATTATATAAATCAATCATATTCTGTTCTAACATCGAACTATAAGCATTGTAATTATTATTTTATATTAATAAATTTAAGTTAAGAAAAGAAAAAGTTTGGATTTTTTTTACAATTACATACATACATAGAACAATTACAAAAAACATCTATAATATTTATATACAATGGTTGGCAACATGGCTGACACTCAGCATATACCGTGACAGCTAACTGTCACGGCGCTGGTATTCTGTGCCTGCCATTAGTGATATACTAGTATATAGTAGTACCTAACTTAGTTATATATGTAAATCATAATATGCTTACACATATTCTTTTTAATACGGTGGTATAGCGGTCTAGCATACCGCTTTACGACCGATGGTCGCGGGTTCGATTCCTCGCACGGCACAAACATTTGTATTCCTGGATATGATTGTTTGTATCCATCTAGGTATTTTCTGTGTATAATATGTATGTAATTACGAAAAAAAATTATCTATGTATTTGTATCAGTTATCTAATACCCATAACACAAGCTTTAGCTAGCTTAACTTCGGTCTAGATGGTGCTATGTGAATTGTATTGAGATTATTATTATATTATTATTAAATCTATTATTTATTTAGTTTATTCCTTGGTGAGTGCATTGGTATTATACTGTAATACTCACCGAGAGCATGTAATTTTATAAAAAAATAAATAATTTTTTAACAGGTCTCTGAACTATGGATCGTCGACTAACATCAGAGTGGCACCAGGATCTCCCGGGAAATCTTACTCTTGGAAGGAGAAAGGGTACACCAGTTGCAGTGCATCCTGTCTCAGCGGAGTACAGGTAATTGTTAAAAAAATTACACTACTAATTTCTACCTGTGACTTCGGATATATTTTTTTATTATTACACTAATAATGAGTGCGTAGCGATTTCTATGTTAATTATCGCATGCCTCTTACTTGATATAATTACAGTAATTATTTATATAAAAAACATCTATTAAAAAGAGCACACAAGTTTCTTGCTCATTCTTCTTGTGAAGAATCTGCATTCCGAATGAGTGGTAGAATCAAAATATGACTATTCAAAAGTGTTCGTAATGAGTTTATTTGAATAAAGATTCTATTTCTATTTATTGCGGCCAGGATTTTTTTTAACCATTGACAATTTACATAGTGCCAGACCTTGTAATATACCTACTAAGCAAGTTGTGTAATAGTAATAACTAGTGGTCGCCAATAGTCTAATTTTGACTATAATTAATTTAACATTCAGTAAGACTATAGACAAATAATATTAAAGAGAAACAATATTAATCTATGCTCAATTTGACTATTGACTTTAAACGACAAACTAAAAAGTATATATATATGTGTGTGCGTATGAGTGTGTGTATGGCAAAGTAGTGTGTCTAATACTTTTTATATTAATTGAATGTATTATTATTCTTAATTCTCAAAAATATTCGATAGCATTCTGTATCTAAATATATATAAATCAAAGGTGACTAACGTAGTGATCTTTCAACGCACACCCCAAACCACTGGAGGGATCGGGCTGAAATTTGGCATGCAAGTTTGCAAATATTATTATTTATGCATGCAAAGTCTCAGTCCAATCGATTTAAAATTGATAAAGTTTCATACAAACTTTCATCCCCTATTTTATCACCTTGAGGGTAGAATTAATCAAAATCCTTTCTTAGCGGATGCCTACGTCATAACATCTACCTGCATGCCAAATTTCAGCCCGATCCGTCCAGTGGTTTAGGCTGTGCGTTGATAGATCACTACGTCAGTCATCTTTGAGTTACATATATTTAGATTCACACAGTGCTGTCTATTTCTACATGTAATGAAGAAGAGGGATTAGCACATTGATGGTGGAAATTTCTAAACTTAAAAGTCAATAAACTATAATAAGTTTGTTATGTCTATTCTCAAATAGAACGTAAATTAACGAGCACTTGCTGAAACTGAAATTAGAGCCATCAATTACTACGCCTCACTGAATACCTTAAAATGGTTCAGATAGCTAGACCATCCTCAGTAACTGATAGCAAACTATATCTTTATTTTATTTCTCACTAGCAGTTAACAATCCGTCTGCGTGGAATTAAAAGAAATTGCTTGCCAATTAACTGAAGGCCAAAAGTTTGCCACCTACGTGGTATAAAAAAAAATGAAATGTCTAAAATAAAAGTAGCATAAGTTACTCCTTATAACATTAGATATCTGCGAGTAAAGGTCCTGTTAAAAAGAAATAATTTGAATTAATATTAGTACATGAATAAAAAACTTAGTTTCACTTCTTACAGAAAAACGCGGACGGAAGTGTATGAAATTTCACAAACTTATAGTTTATGTAGAGAAGGAGAGAAGAATGCTAATATTTTTTTAAATAATGCATAAAGCATGCATTAAATGAATAAAAAAAAATTGTACATACCATGTATTTGACATACACACACATAGAAGTATAGTCTTTGACAATAGATCCTTAATAATTGTTTAAAGTTATAATTTATAGTAATTCTGGTCGCATATAAAAAAATAATTATGATCGAATTTCGACCAATGGGGGACTAGTAGTAATAATAGTATCTCAGGACAATTCACACAGCGCCATCTAGTCTCAACCTAAGCAGAGCCTATATTATACTAACTAGACAACTGACAGAAACAAATATATTTTTTTTGTAAATTCATACATTTAGATACATAGAAATACACCCAGACCAATACAAACAATCGTAATCATGAATACAAATGGTAGAAAAAATTAATGTAAAAACTTGACGTTCATAAGCGGCTAAAATGTCCTACATGAATAAAGGATTTTTTAATTTGAATTTGAATTTGAAATATTTGTACCATGCAAGGAATCGAACCCGCGACAATCATAAGTAAGGCACACTGATTTACTTCCGATGGTCATTAAACCGCTAGACCACAGAGGCAAACGTCGTGATCAAATGTTTTAAAATTTGCTTCTGTGTTCAAATCTACTACTTTAACTCTGTTCTTCTACATTTAAAATAATACACTTGTTTTAGGAACTCATTATACAATGCGTAAGAGATGAAGATGGCAAGAATGCATCTCCATACATGTGTGATCCTCTGACCAAACCCGAGAACCGAGTGAGGACCTGCAACGACCACCCCTGTCCGCCAAGGTAAGGAGCTATTTTCAATAATAATAATTCTGAGCAATTCACAAACTATCTAGTCCCAGGTTAACCAGTGCTTGTGTTATGGGTACTACACTGATATAAATACATAGATTTTGTTTTGCAAATACATACATAATTAATATACATAACATTATATTCAATTTTTATGCGTGAATACGGAATGGTGCACCCGCCTGCGTTTACAATGTAAACTCATGGGACACCAGTGGAAGAAAATAGGACTCATCATGGCATATTATCTAGGAGTTAACCACAATGTTTTCTAGAGGTACACGCGTGGAGGTCGACCAAATTTGTCGTCGTCTATACGTTGAAGATATACTCGTATAAGAATAAATATTATTGGGGGATGTTTATTTAAAAATTAACAGTACACAAAAATTGTTTGTCTGATTGTCTGTATAATAATATTTGTGCGCGGTAATCTCATAAACAGGTTAACCGATTGAGTGCGTTTTTCATTTATTTATTGTAGCAAACAACATTCAATTGTTTCTTATTTATTGAAATCGGTTCATAAAAAAAAGTAAATGTTATTGCTTTTCGGAATATCGCGGGTTCAGCCACAATATAATATGTAGAAAAAAACCTATTTGAAATATTAGTTGGGAACCATCGATCAGTCTGTTGGACGCGCACTTTAACACTTATTTTTTCCAATACTCAGTTACGAAAATTGAAGTCGCGTTCCATCGAGATATTTCCTTGTTTTCATCCTAATAATATTATAAATGCGAAAGTTTATAAGTGGTCGTTTGTCAAAATATAATAATAATTGTCAAGATATATAGTTTAAATTTCTTTTTGTGTTGAATAATCCATTTGTCGCGAAAGCTATATAACATTACGCTACGACCAATAGAAGCGAAGTATCAGTGGAAAAAGTTGCAAAAACAGGGAAAATTATTGATATTTGAGGGCTTCCGTTGCGTGCGCTGTGCGAACGAAGTCGCGGGTACAGCTAGTAATGTTATAAACGCGAAAGATTGTGAGTAAGGATGGATGTTTCTTCTTTCACGCAAAACTACTGAACGGATTTTGATGAAACTTTACAGTAATATAGCTTATACATCAGAAAAACACATATTTTTTTATTAACGTGGTTGAAACTGCGGACTCAGATAGTTTTTTATAGTTAATTTTTATTGTATTTTTTCCCCAAGTTTCTGTATACAACTTGATGTTTGATTGTTTTATATTCCTCATTTTTTCATTATTTTTATTATATTTTTCCCAAAGTTTCTGCTATATACAACACTAATGATTATTTCATTTCCAGATGGAATTACACGGAGTTTTCTCAGTGCACCAAATCCTGCGGTATCGGTATCCAAACTAGAGAAGTTTCATGTATACACGAGGTAAGTTTATTTACTTGATTTTGATACAAATCGTTTAATAATATAATAATAATTTATTGTCAGACGACATAGTTCATTTTGTTATAACAACTTTACAACGTAACTTAATCTATGTGAGTAAAAAAACTCTTAACATATTACTTGTAATTCAAATTCAAATTCAAAATACATTTATTCATGTAGGATATATTAGCCGCTTATGAACGTGAAATTTTTTACATTATAATTATATTTTTTTCCCTACCGTCCAGTTTAGTATATAGATACAATTGAGAAGAACTGGCAAGACACTCAATTGAATATTTTTTTTTTGCAAGCCAGTTTATTTGCCATGTATTTTATATAGGTGTCTATATCTAACATTAAATGAAAATCCCGTGCATGAACAACTATTGCCATGCACGCTCGTCATGCAAGTAATCGTTTAGTAACTAATAGGTTTTGCTCAGTAAATATGACTTAACAGATATTTTGAATTTATTTAAGGGTAATTCCAATATATCCTTTGTTATCTTATTGTAAATTTTTATACCTTTTCCCATAAAAGACCTATTGACTTTTTCTAAACGATACTTGGGGACAGCAAGTTTGTCTTTAAATCTAGTATTAATATTTTGAATATTGCAAAGTTTTTATTAAATAAAATATACTGATGATCACTGTAGGTTTTCTAAACCTATGTTTTGATATTTGTTTAATAATATAACGATGCAAAGTGGCGTTTAAAAAGTATGAGTTGACAGTTCTTATCTCGAACTACTTGCAGAACTAACATTAACAGATTCGAATTATCATAAATCTAAATATATATAACTCAAAGGTGACTGACATAGTGATCTATCAACGCACAGTCCAAACCACTAGACGGATCGGGCTGAAATTTGGCATGCAGGTAGATGTTATAACGTAGGCATTCGCTAAGAAAGGATTTTGATTAATTCTTCCCCCAAGGGCAGAAAATAGGGGATGAAAGTTTGTATGAAACTTTGTCAATTTTAAACTGATCGGGCTGAGACTTTGCATGCATACAGCTATTATGACGTAGGCATCCTCTAAGAAAGGATTTTGATAAATTCCACCCCTAAGGGGATAAATTAACGCGATCGAAGCCGCGGGCAAATGCTAGTCTATAAATAAAGATATATTGTTTTGATTTTGATTTGATTATATTTAGGGACAAAACTCTTAATACGATGGGTCTGTCATGCCGTAATGAGAATAAAAAAATCTTTTGAGGAAGAATATTTTGATATTCGTATATTTTTAACTCTACTACGCAAAAATTACTAAACGCTAAACATTTTCGAATGAAATTTAGATTACAAATAGATCTTATACTAGATTAACGCGTAGGATATTTTTTAATTAAATTCATATATTTAGTAAACAAAAAAAAACATTGATATCATCTCCAAAATTTCTCGAAAGTTCTGAAACAAATAAATGTTTAAAAATACAAATTCCCTGGAAAGATCAATTCTCATCAAAGACTAATCTCATTTAGGCTATCTTCTCAATGTTTCCACAAAGACTTGATACAACCTCATTATTTTTCTTCAATTACTCTTGAAATATAAAATTTATTTTATTCAAATGAGCACCCAATTTATGAGTAACTTTATTCCACGGGAATACACTTCGCATAATTCATACAGTCATACATACAGTCGACGCCGACGTTCAGAAACATAGAGAAATATTATAAACTAAACTGTCCTGCGGCTTCGTCCGCGTGGAATTTAACTTTATTCTTCTAAAATAAAAGTAGCCTAAATTACTCCTTATTACATCAGCTACATGACAAAAAAGTCCTATCAAAATCGGTCCAGCCATTTCAGAGATTAGCCGGAACAAACTGACAGACAAAATTTTTTTTTAATTTTATTTTGGTGTATGTACCGTATTTATATTCATATGCATGTAGTAAAAAATAGTTATTTTAGTATTACAAACAGACACCCTAATTTTATTTATATGTATAGATTTTAAACTTAACTGCAGACAGGTTGAATATTTATAACAACAAGTTTCTCCTCTATTTCTTTCTCATTATTCATCACTGTTATCAGGTGCTAAGACTCAGAATAACTAACCTTGGACAATTAACACAGCGCCATCTAGTCCCAAGTTAAGCAGAGCATGTGTTATGGGTACTAGACAACTGATAAATACATAGATATTTTTTTGTAAATATATACATAATATACATAGCAAACACCCAGACCGATACAAACAATCATACTCATGAATACAAAATGTTTGCACCATGCGAGGAATCGAACCTGCGATCATCGGAAGTAAAACGGTGTGCTAACACTAAACCACCGAGGCCGTTGAGATCTATTGTGCTCGTCCTTTATCAAGTTCGCTACCTAGACCCGTCAGGGACAAGAATTAAAGGATATTCTTAGGAGCGATGGTTTTTATCTCCTCAGGATACAGTATGTACTTTCCAAAGAAGATTTCGTTTAGACATGAGTGGGCTACAACCACATAGGATGTGTAGTGGCGTTTTCTCTTCTGCTTGCCAAAATCTGCAGGTCCTTCTCTGTAACTCTGAGCATCTGAGCTTCATGAGTAACTCAATACAAACACAGAAGCTGAAGATAGAAATTATTGCTCTATATACAAGGCACGGCCAGTAAATCATTCCAATATGCTGGCCAACCAACTGATAGTCCCCGACAACAATGTTGCCTTAAAAGGTGTAGGTTACTGGAACTCACAGGACACTGCAAGTTGAACAAACGTATGGCACACCTAGGCCTATGCACAACAAAGTACTGCAGATTTTGCTAAACTGAAGAGGAACGCCACGACACATCCTATGTGGTTGTAGCCCACTCATGCACAAACGAAATATCTCCCTTGGAAAGTTTACACTCTTTCCCGAGGAGATAAAAACCATCGCTCCTAAGAATATCCTTCAATTCTTGTCCCTGACGGGTCTAGGTAGCGAACTTTGAAAAGGACGAGCAGAATAGATCTATGTAGGTCGCAGTGCTATAGGTCCATGCACCTGACAATAGGCCAAAAAACCCAATAAAAAAAATTAAAAAAATACCATAACTCGATGAATAATGAGAACCATCTGAAAGGACAATGATTCTACTGAGAATCACACTATACCCGAAACGTAAACTTGACCACATCTGCTCACTATCTTCTTTTTTCGGACTACTCTAATGCTGTTGGCTGCAGCTGGCCTTTACAGTTTCATCGGTCGATAGGGGGCGAGTGCAGATGGCACTCAAACCCGCGGAAGGACTTATGGAGCGGCTGAAGGCCAACTCCCGCCTGATGGATACGACTTTAGTCTGAGGGCACCGCTAGGGATTCGAACCTCGACTCAGACCGTCGTAATATTGATCCCCGTTTGAATTGGACGGGGAATCGATTGGAGGGGATACATAGTCTTCGACTTGCAAGATGAACACGGAAAAAAACAAATAATATCTTTACATAAACGGCCTCAGTGGTCTAGCGGTTTAGGATACTGCTTTACTACCGAAGGTCACGAGTTCGATTCCTCACACGGTGCGCGCATTTTTATTCTTGATCATTGTTTGTATTGACGACCTCGGTGGTCTAGCGGTCTAGGACACCGCTTTACGAACGATGGTCGCGGGTTCGATTCCTCGCACGGCACAAACATTTTGTATTCATGAGTATGATCGTTTGTATCGATCTGGGTGTTTTCTATGTACAATATGAATGTATTTATAAAAAAATTATATGTATCAGTTATCTAGTACCCATAACACAAGTTTTAGCTCGCTTAACTTGGGTCTAGATGGCGCTGTGTGAATTGTCCTGAGATTATCATTATTATTGTATCAGTATGGATGTTTACTATGTATAGATTTACAAAAAAAAATATCTAATATATATTTAGTACAGAGCATATATTTATAGATACGTACGTTAAATTTATATCGCCCACATTTTTCCTCCGGGGTTGAAATTGAGATGTGGTAGAGAAAATTACACTAAAATGATTGCCTATGTGAACAAACAGTATATTTTAGTATTAAAGATGTGTGGGAATTATAAAAAATCTAAAATTACCATATCTGCTCGGTTTTTTTTATTATTTATAATTCCTTAAAATAATAAAAAAAAATACAATATCTATGAATATTGTTTTTTTTTGTATTTTTTTAAGGAAATTAAGGATTTATCTAGGAACAAAAGGCGGTCTTATCGCTTAAGTGGTTTTAATCTTACGATATGTACAAATACATATTAATTTAAGTTTTCTGTATATTTTTCTTTATTTAATTCAGGCTACTAAACCCATATTATAAATACGTTATAAACGAACATACATATGAATTAATATTACAATATTAATTACCCTTTTATCACTGATGGAGATACTCTGTGGATACATATACAGCAGTAAATATAATTTATTCTCGTTCCGATCAGTTGCACGTTACAAATAAACTGTTACTTAGCAACGTGATTACTTATTTTAAATGTGATGGATTATACTTTTTCTTCTAAAATCAATGTGCCTAATACGGTCCTTTAATCCATTACATTTAAGACACTCTACATCTCTACATTTAAATAACATATATAATATAAAACAATATACAGAGGAGTAAACAATAGAACAATAGTAGCAAAAAACATACCGGAAATTAAATCTGTAAAATACTGAGGACAAAATGGGAGTCGTGTCGTATCAAGAATTAAAGAGCATGATGGAAGATCGCGGAAAGTGGCAAGAGCTCCACCGACAAGAGCGTAGCTCTTAAATTATGAATGAATGAATGAAAATACTATACACTGATTATAGTTGGAACTATACCGCCCCCTTAAATTCTAAAATCAATGAGCCTAATAATCACCAACCCCTATTTTTTAAAAGCGATTTTAATTTTTATAGCAAAACGACATTTGCGGGGTCAGTTAGTAATTTATATAAATTGTGATCGAATTCGACCATTTAGCGGCCACTAGTTTTTGTAAATACGAGTGTGATTAAATGAATTTTTCTCCAATCAGGTGACTAGAGGTGGCACAAATACAGTGGTGGTCCCAAACAGCATGTGTCCCCAACCACCTCCTCCCGACAGGCAGTACTGCAACGTGCTGGACTGCCCCGTCAGATGGCAGACCGGGGAATGGTCCAAGTGCTCCAAGACTTGCGGCGGTGGAGAGAAACAGAGGAAGGTCAGTATACGAAATCTGTTGGAATATTAAAACACAATAAATAGTTCAGTAAGTTCTCTCATTGCATAGTATAAAACAAGGTCGCTGTCTCCGTCTGTCCCTATATATGCTTAAATCTCTAAAACTACGCAACGAAAGGCTCCCTCGAAATACCACACATGTTCAGAATCTAAGTTTTTTCGCGTTTCGCACGGTGAGTCTAGTTTTCAGACACCCATGCTATACTCCCAAATTCCTTCTCCGACCCACCTCTTAAATGGCCGACAACCTGTCTGCCTGCAATTCCCAAGTCCAATTAAAACATTTGATAGTCCAAAATGCACTCACTGTATCAACTTTTTAAAGCATATTTAGATAGATAGATATAACATTTATTTATGTTAAATGGGACATACGCAAGGGACAGTAATATGAAGACAAAAAGGAAATACACAACTGCATCAGTGAGTTAACAGAAAAAGGCTGTGCCTCAGTGTGTTGTTAGCTCGAGCTAACTGATTTCCAGGTGTTGCCCAGGGACATACGCGAGGATGAATCTTTACCCTTGTTACCAGGTGGAGTGTAAACAGATAATGGCCCAGTCCCACGTGGTGGAGCGACCACCAGCCTCGTGCGGCTCACCACGGCCTGTATCCACCAAGTCCTGCAACTCCAAACCCTGCACGCTAGATACATCATCACCAGAAATCTCTTTGGCTAATTCTTCATACATACAACACGATCCGAAGAAGAAAAAGGTCAGTGTTTTGACGCTATTTTTTTTTATGGACTATATTCTCTTTGTATATTAATTTGTAAGGAATATATTGTGATTATTATTGTATTAACTCTAATTTAAACTGGCGCGGGTGGATATAGGCTTGCATATATATATATATATATATATTTTTTCATAATATAAGCGCGTATATATTTGTATATATTATTATTTTATATTTTAATATAATATAACACACGGTTTTTCCTAATATGCTAGATGATAGTTTCTATTCTATCTCTTCTACGTCTTCTTCAAATAATAGTTTTCATAGTATTCCAATTCCCTTACATGAAACATTACATGCTGAGTTCTCTGATGTACTTAAAAATTTTAACATAGTTCATATCAATGCTCAAAGTATTCCGGCTCATTTCTCGGATATGTTGGCAACATTTGACGTTAGTAACATTCATGTTATTCTTGTTTCCGAGTCTTGGCTGAAACCCTGTTTGCCTTCCATGAGCTATTCTCTACCAGGTTTTGTGCTATTGCGTAATGACCGTATAGGTAAGGGTGGTGGTGGTGTTGCAATTTACCTTCGTTCCCAAATCCCTTACAAAGTAGTATTCTCTTCCCATAGTTCGAATCCTTCCCTCGAAGCCGAGCACTTATTTGCTGAAGTTACTCTCTCCCATACGAAAATCCTTATTGGGGTTTTTTATAGTCCCTCTTCCTCTATCAACTATTTCTCTTCATTAGAAAACCTGCTTGAAGATTTGATCCCTTCTTACGAACATACTATTATTATGGGTGACTTCAATACCTGTATGCTGAATAACGACCATCGCAGCAATTCACTTAGAACTGTAGCTAATGCTTGCGACATGTACATTTTGCCACTACAAGCTACTCATTTCTTTCCCCACTCCAGTCCTTCTCTCCTTGACCTAATTTTGGTATCACGTCCTGATTTTGTTGAGAAACACGGCCAATGCTCTGCAGATGCCTTCTCTTATCACGACCTTATCTTCCTCTCCTATAAAATCCGTCCTCCTAAGCGCAAGCACAAAGTTCTTTTGCAACGTAATTTTGGTGCCATCGACCATGAATCCTTGCGTAGAGATGCTTTGGTTTCATTGGGCGTCTATCGATGAAGCGACTTCAGTCAATGAGCAAGTTACATTATTCAACTCAATTATTACTGAATTGTATGACCATCATGCTCCTATACGACCAGTTCGAGTCAAACGCTTACCTGCGCCATGGCTGACAGATGAAATAAAAACTTTGCAAGCCAAAAAAAATAGAGCAAAGGCAAAATTTAAATCAAATCCCGATGTATTCCGTGATGAGTATATTAGAGCTAGGAATCACTGCAATAAGGTGTGTAGAGAGGCACAACGTCGCCACATTCACAAATGTATAGAAAATTGTAATTCCTCCAAAGTCTGGAAATTCTTGAAGTCTCTTGTGGTTGGTAAAAATAATTACACTAATTCCTTTGATTTAGATACCAATAACCTTAATAGGCATTTCTCTACTTCAGTTGCAATTGATAGCAATACTAAAAAGAACACTCTAAACTATCTTTCTACCATACCAACCCCAGATTATTCCTCATTTTCTTTCAGTTTAGTTACGAATTGTGATGTTGAGAAGAGCTTACTTTCAATCTCTTCCGATGCCGTTGGTACGGATAATATTAGTCGTGCTATGATCCTTCCCATTCTAGATATTGTCCTTCCTATTATCACCAAAATTTTCAATGTTTCCTTATCCTTAGGTGTGTTTCCTTCCGTCTGGAAAGATGCTCATATTATTCCACTTCCCAAAAAGTCTAACCCGAGCTCCTTTTCAGATTATCGTCCAATATCCATTCTCCCTTTCCTCTCTAAAGCTATGGAGCGTCTTGTCCAAATTCAATTAAGTACCTTCCTTTCTAAAAATGGTCTCGTAAACTCTCTTCAATCCGGTTTCCGTCCTGGTCATAGTACGACTACTGCCCTTGTAAAAATTACAGACGATATTCGTTACGGCATGGAGAACTCCCAGCTTACTGTCCTTACATTACTAGATCTAAGTAATGCTTTCAACACAGTTGACTTCGATATTCTGCTGGGACTGATGCGTTCTCTCAACATATCTCCAATCGTAACTAAATGGTTTCAAACATACCTGTATGGGCGCCGGCAACGCATTCGAATAGACAATCATTTGTCCCAGTGGTGCAATACCTCAGCCGGCGTCCCTCAGGGTGGCGTCTTATCTCCATTACTTTTCTCGCTATTTATTAACTCCATTACTCTCGAACTTCATTCCTCATACCACCTTTACGCAGATGATCTCCAACTATATACACAAGCTCCATTACATAACATCACCTCTGCCATCACTAAAATCAACGATGATTTAGCAACCATTTCAAACTGGTGCAAATCGTACGGATTAATCGTGAATCCTTTAAAAACGCAAGCTATTATAATTGGCAGCCCCTTTTATATCGCCAGAATAAATAGGAACCTTCTTCCGCGCATTGTCTTCAATGGTGAACTCATAGCCTACAGTGACAGTGTGAAAAACCTAGGAATTTACTTTGATCAGACACTATCATGGTCGACTCAAATTATGGAACTTAGTAAAAAGGTTTTTAGTGTCGCTGGTTCATTAAAACGGTTACGTAATTTCTTGCCTTTCGACACCAAGGTTACGCTTGCAAACACCCTATTACTTCCTATTCTGGATTATGCAGATACTTGCTATCTAAACCTCACCGAAGCCCAGTTGAACAAACTTGAGCGTCTTCAAAACGTCTGCATTAGATTCATATTTGGTTTACGTAAATACGACCGCATTTCACAATTCCGTACTCAGCTCAAGTGGCTCCCAGTTCGTTCTCGCCGAGATTGGCATACTCTCTCTTTACTCTATTCTATCCTTTTTAACCCTATTACTCCATTATACCTTAAAGAATCTTTCACATTTCTCAGTGAGGTGCAGAATAGTGGTCTGCGAAGTGCAGATAACCTCCTGTTAAAAACTCCCACCCATACCTCTAGTTACTATTCCAAATCCTTCTCTGTACAGGCTGTGCGCCTTTGGAACTCGCTACCGCCCTCCATACGTAATGCTCAATCCTCAGCCATCTTTAAGAACTTAGTTAAATCTCACTTTCTCTCCCCGTAAATACTCTTATGTTCACTTCTTTTCCACTTCTATTGCTTCTTACATTTAGTATAGTGTGTTATTTGTGTAATATTTATATGTATGTATAATTTTTATGTGTATGTATGTATTTATTAATTTTAATTTATTTAAGTAAGTTTATATATATATATTATATTTTGTTACCTTATTTCCACTCACGTGCCGCCTACTTTATTTTTATTTATACTCTCTTTCATAAGGTTGTCTGGAAGAGATTGCGTTAGCGATAAGACCGCCTTCTGTACCTTCTTCTTTCTTTAATGTATTGTTATATATTATTTTCTTTTTATGTATCTACTTTTAATATTGGTGCAATAAAGAATTATAAATAAAAAAAATAAAATAATAATAATCTCAGGACAATTCTCACAGCGCCATCTAGACCGAAGTTAAGCTAGCTAGAGCTTGTGTTATGGGTACTAGATAACTGATAAAAATACATAGTTTTTTTTTCATAAATATGTACATACATAATATACATAGAAAATACCAAGACTGATACAAACAATTATACTCAGGAATACAAACGTTTGCACCATGCTTGGAATCGAACTCGTGACCATCGAAACTAAGGCAGTGTTATCTAGTATCCTTAACACAAACTCTGCTTAGCTAGAAACTAGATGGCATGTTGCATTTCCAGCGACATTATGTATGCATTTAAAAAAAAAGCAATAAGTATTTTTTTATGGATGATAATGGAATGGTGCACTGTTTTCTAAATATATTATTTATATATCTATCTTTTGCCCGCGGCTTCACTCGCGTTAAGAAGTATTATTATTAATTAGGTATAGTTTTCGCGGTTTTACTTCTGTTCAGCGTTCGTAAAAAATTAGGGCCTAGGGGATGCCAACGTCATAGTAGCTTTATGCATGCGAAGTCTCAGCCCGATCGGATTAAAATTGACAAAGTTTCATACAAACTTTTATATGGGAATAGAATTAATCAAAATCCTTTCTTAGCGGATGCCAACGTCATAACATCTACCTGCATGCCAAATTTCAGCCCAATCCAGTGGTTTGACCTTAGAGTTATATATATTTAGATTAAGCCCCGATAAATGAGCAATCCAATACTGAAAAAAATCTATTTAAGAATCAAACGAACCCAACTGAAGCAGCAAAGGCCAGCTGCGGCCAACAGCATTAGAGTGTCCGAAAAAAAAAGTAGTTCCAGAGTTTAACGCGTCCAACCGAACATACAGACGAACTCTTAAGTTTATTACAGTTATGTACATAATATACATGTTCCTAGCTAATTACACGAAATATAACAAGAAAATATTTTAAAAACTTCGCAAATATAACGACGAATTTCTTATTTCATTTAATAATTGTGCCGCGTACATTCTGACGAACAATTTTTATTACTTGAACATAGAGTTAAACTGTGTAATGTTCTGATTATTCTCCATTTCCACGATAAATCCTACACTTTATAGAACGTAATCTTATTTCGGAACTAACTGTAACCGCGACTTCGTCCGCGTGGAATTTAACTTTATTTTTCTAAAATAAAATGTTTTCTCTAAAATAAAATTAGCCTAACTTACTCCTTATAACATTAGCTTCCTGCCAAAAAAAGTCCCGTCAAAATTGGTCCAGCCATTTCAGAGATTAGACGGAACAAACAGACATATAGACAAAAATTGTAAAAAATGTTCTTTTGGTGTATGCACCGTATTTATATTCATGTGCATGTAGTAAAAAACTGTTATTTCAATATAACAAACAGACACTCCAATTTTATTTATATGTATAGATTATTCTGTGGAATCGTAAGATTTCTAATTAATTAAACAGACTGTAACGAGAGAGACGAGAGATTCCGAGATTCCCTGATATCTTCAGCATCCGCGTCTATATTTTTAACCTCAAATAAATGACCGCCAGAATTCTTTTATTTCGTTTCGGTATGAAAAAAATATTTCATTAGTAGAGTCCTCAGGCACTCCGTAATAATGTTCTAATATTTGTTTAATATAACGTACCTTCACGGCTTTTATACTAGATGGGATAATCAGAAGAAATTCGATACTTCGAATTCTTTCTTCTCTTCTTTAATGTCATGGTATTATTATAAGTGTATTGTCAAGAATGTATATGAACTATATATTATATGACGACCTCGGTGGTCTAGTGGTCTAGCACACCGCTTTACGGCCGATGGTCGCGGGTTCGATTCCTCGCACGGCACAAACATTTGTATTCATGAGTATGATTGTTTGTATCCGTCTGGGTGTTTTCTATGTATAATATGTATATATTTACGAAAAAAAAATTTATCTATGTACTTGTATCAGTTATCTAGTACCCGTAACACAAGCTTTAGCTAGCTTAACTCGGGTATAGATGGCGCTGTGTGAATTGTCCTGAGATTATATATATATTATATCTCCCTTTGATGGGGTAATAGACTGATCATTGCGGGTGAAAATCACCAAACAATGATAGTATACATTATGAATGATGAGGATGGATAATTTTTAAGTGGAAGACAAAAATTATTATTATTATTATTACATGTTTTTAAATTATTACGTTATTGTGTATATATATATATATATATATTACTTTATGTTGGTCTAATGTATTGTCTTATAATACAGGTGACAGTCAAGGTGGGTGGTTCAGCAACAATATTCTACGGAACTCAAGTGAAAATCAAGTGTCCCGTGAAAGGTTACAACAGAACGAAGATCCAATGGGCAAAGGATCATCAGATCATCACCAAATCGAAGAAATACAAGATTTCTAAAAAGGTAAGTAGAAATACGAATAATATTTATGTAAATAATGTTAATGTAAGCACGTCAACCAAGATACAGTGGACAAGGGATCATCAGATCATCATCAAATCGAAGAAATACAAGATTTCTAAAAAGATAAGTAGAAATATAAAATTATTTATTCAAATAAACTTAATATAAACACTTTTGAATAGTCATGTTTATTTTGATTCTACCACTCATTCGGAAAGCATACTCATGACTAGAAGAACGAGCAAGAAACTTGCATGTTGCTCTTTTAAATAAATTTTCAGCATTACATATTTTTTATGGTATGGTTCACCCTCCTGAGCTAAGTTCTGAGCTAATTTTAGGCTGGCGGGGCTCCACTGGAGGATGATAGGATGAGCATAAAGTCAGGTCAGTTCAGTCACCAGGAATTTTATCACTGAATTATCACACTTTCTTCGTAAAGAGTTTATAATAAAATTGAAGAATATGCAAACGATAATGTTTTTGTAATAAAACTGAAAATTCATTGCGCTGACAATATTAACTGATTGTACTAAATATAAAAAATATTATTATTATTACAGTGCCTAGCGGTCTTTATAATGATTATCGCATGCCTCTTACTTGTAGTTACGTAATTATTAAGTAACATATATTCAAAAGAGCAACACACAAGTGAATTTTAAGTTAGATATTTTCAAGAGCTTCTTGCTCTTGAAAATATCTAACTTAAAATTCATAGCGCTGACAATGTTACCTGATTGAACAGAGATTAAGTGCGTAGCGATTTCTATGTTGATTGTCGCATGCCTAATCGTTGTTAATATAAATCTAATTAAAACAATATTTATTTAAAAGAGCAACACACAAGTTTCTTGCTCATTCTTCTTGTGATGAATCTGTGTTCCGAATGAGTGGTAGAACTATGACCATTCAAAAGTGCTTGTATTGAGTTTATTTGAATAAAAAATATTTTTATTTGTACTAACTAAATAAACAAAATAAATTATATATTATTAAGTATATTGTAATGTTATCATTTAAGATATAGCCCAATAAACTATACTTACGAATACTTCGTCTGCAACCTCTCAAAAGCTTTGAAAGCTTCAAAGCAGTCTCTGTAATATTAGAATTTCAGTACTTTCACTACTTAGTGAGGACTTAAGTGTGTGTGGGGGGGGGGGGCTGACTCGCGTTCCAGTAACACCACTTCAGCTGCATTTTCTTGGCATACGTCTTATTAATCTTCTTATGCTTACGTTACTTTAAAGTTGTAACTTATATGCAGTCTGGAAGCTTGTTTTAGCTTAGTTTGTGATACAATAGTTGATTTTTTATATATTATAATATACTCGTTAATTTTTTATATGATTAACGTCCTCGGTGGTCTAGCGGATTAGCAAATAGCTGTACTTCCGATGATCGCGGGTTCAATTCCTCTCACAGTACAAACTTTTGTGTTATGGGTACTAGACAACTGATATAAATATGTAAATACATTTTTTTTGTAAATACATACATCTTATTAATATAGTTAAATGTGTTTTAATATGAATAATTTTATGGAAAATAAATATATTTACATATCTCTCACGTTTAACTGTATTAATAATGTATACCAAATGTGAAAGTTTAAAAATAAGTAATACATACATAAACAATCGTACTCATGAATAGAAATGTTTGTACCGTGCGGGGTATCGAACCCGCGACCATCGGAAATAAGGCGGAGTGGTTAACCACTAGACCACCGAGATGTCAGATGCCGTTATGCCTGTTATCCTATAATTTCAATAACTTAACTCACTTTTCAACCGAAATACAGTTTACAAAGCCAGCTGCTTGGTGATTCTAGCTTAAACATAAAGATACCTACGTCTTAGTAACTTATAATATTAATACGAATAGAATAGAATAGAATAGAAAATCATTTATTCAAATAAACTTAATTTAAGCACTTTTGAATAGTCAACATTTTTTTAAATCTACCGCTTATTCGGAAATCTGTCTCATCACAAGAAGAATAAGCAAGAAACTTGTGTGTTGCTCTTTTAAACAATCCTTGTAAGTTCACATTTTACAAGTCGAAACGTATGAATACAAACTACCAACCAGCACTAATTTTTTTAGGTTCAAATATAAAAACACAATAAGATTAAATCAGTCGTAGTTATAAGAGCAGACCAGTCCCTACAAGCAGCACTCGTTCACGACTATGACGGATGAGCCAGCCATCACTGCGCTAGACCATATACGGTTTTTTTCTTTATTGATGATAATGGAATGGTGCACCCGCCTACGCTAACGGTTTACGCTAGCGGAGCACCAGTGGAGGATGATAAGATGAACATGAGGTCAGGTCAGTTAGCCCATCTTGGCAAATGGTAATTTATCACATTGGTTTCCAGGGAGCACAGTGTTGAGCTCATACTCATACATGGCTTGGTACATTTCCAGTCATGGGCTTAATGCTGCACATTACTTACGCTGGCGGAGCACCAGTGAAGGATGATAAGATGAGCATAAATCAGGACAGTTCAACCTTTTTGGCAAATGGCAATTTACCATGATGGAGACGACGAATTCTTCATTGCCAGCAAAAGCGTTATTAGTACACATTAGAATCCACTCCTAAGAATATCCTTCAATTCTTGTCCCTGACGGGTCTAGGTAGCGAACTCTGAAAAGGGCGAGCACAATAGATTTATGTAGGTCGCAGTGCTACAGGTGCTACAAACATCTGACAATAGGGGGGAAAGGGGATTGTTAGTAATGTGGACTAATAGTCATATTGCTAGCAATATACCATGTCAGGTTGACCTCCACGCGGTTCCCCTGGAAACCATCGTGATAAATTCCTTGTGAATTTGCCAAGATGGGCTAACTGACTTGACTTCATTCTCATCTTATCATCCTCCACTGGTGCCCCGCCAGCGTAAACCGTTAGCGCAAGCGAGTGCAACATTCGATTATCATCCATAAAAAAAAAAACATCTGACAATAACCCAAAAAACCCAATAAAAAAAAAATAGTCCAATTTCTAACATTCATATTCTCCCCTATTACTTATTGGGAAATTTCAGAAATGATACGTCGATGCAGCAGTACTTTTATTTTATTCCTTTTTCAAATTACACTCCACATAAATTGCGTCGCTGAACATTCACGTGTGGTCGTCTCGGTCGCCTCGAACAGAGTGAGAGCAGCCCGCTCCCTCCTTGTTCCCGGCCTCTTTATCTCTATTCCTATTGGTGGCGGCATAATCGTGACGCCACCAACATCACGTGACTCTATGGTTTTAAATTTGAAATGTAAGTAACAAATTAGTCAACTGAGTGTTCTTTATGCATTGAAGCTAACATACTACTGTTTGTTTATCTCTTTCACACAGGGGGCTCTCCGTATTACAACCCTCTCGTTCCGGGATCATGGAGTCTACACGTGCGTGGCGGGTAGATCCAGTGCTAATCTCACGCTCCTAGTGAAAGCGAGACCTGGCGAGTTTATATCGAGCGAAGAAATTGAGAGGCACAAAGCTTTGGATGAGCCATCTTCCCCTCTAGCTGACAGGTCAGTAAATGTATCAACATCATTATTGCAATGATCATCAGGACGGCCTCGGTGGTCTAGCGGTTTGGCACACTGCTTTACTTCCGATGGTCGCGAGTTTATTTATTTAAAACTATTGATTTTGTACAATAGGCGGGTGTTTTGCCTTAAAATAAAAAAAAATTAGGGGTGGACTACCCCTAACATTTAGAGGGATGGAAAATAGATGTTAGCCGATTCTCAGACATACTCAATACGCTCACAAAATTTCATGAGAATCGGTCAAGCCGTTTCGGAGGAGTATGGGAACGAAAACAGTGACACGAGAATTTTATATATAAGATAATATACTACATACAAACTTCATGATATGTAGTTTGTTTGTAATATAAATTTATATAAATGTATATGTATGTATGCATATACATTTATATAAATATATAAACAAACTACACATATGAATAAGATGATAAATGTTAACTCTTTTTTAGTAACTATTTCGATTTGCGGGTTCGATTCCTCGCACGGCACAAACATTTGCATTCATGAGTATCATTGTTTGTTTCGGTCTGGGTGTTTTCTATATATATTAGGTATGTATTTACAAAAAAATATCTAAATATTTATATCAGTTGTCTAGTACCCATAACACAAGTTCTGCTTACTGTGGGACTAGATGGCACTATGTTAATTGTCCAGTGTTATGTATTTATTATATGCACATTTGGCAAGTTTGGAATAATTATTGTTTTTAAACAATTATGTACACATGGTCTGGTAAATAAATAAATTGAATTGAGTATAAATATTATTAGTAACTTTATTAATAAAGCTCTAAAGGTTCTTGTGGATAATGCTATACGGCATTGTGCTCGCATTTTTGTGTAAATTATATTATGCATTAAAGAATAAATAAATAAATAAAATTAGATACAAGGGAACTCTAGTATGTTAAGTATTTGAAGCAATGGTTTATTTTTATAGATAAGGTAGATGGATCAGAATTTTTCGTCATACATCCTTTTACACAAATTTATTCCTAATTTCACAGACAAGTTCCACTTTTCAATTCTATACTTAATACAACGGGAGAATATTGAAAAATGTACACTACAGTAAGTCACTCCAGGTGATGGATGAAAGACGACTGCATGCAACTGAAATGAGAATGTTGAGTGGATGTGTGGTGTGACAAGAATGGATAAGATAAAGAATGAATACATTAGAGGAAGTATGAAAGTCGCGCCGGTGTCGGAGAGGTTGAAGTGTAATCTATCATGGTATGGACATGTAATGCGTAGGAACGAGGATAATATTTTAAGAAACGTGTTACATATGAATGTGGATGGTTATAAGGGCAGAGGAAGGCCGAAAAAGAGATGGAGGGACTGTGTGAAAGATGATATGGTAAGAAAGGAAGTAAATAACGCGATGACTGCGAACAGGGATGAATGGAAGCGAAAATCATATTACGCCGACCTATAAATGGGATAAGGAAGAAGCAGATGATGATGATGATGAGTAAGTCACTCCAGTTTCTACAATACCGGCCTGCGAGCATAATGTAGAATAGAATAGAATAGAATAGAAAATCATTTATTCAAATAAACTTAATTTAAGCACTTTTGAATAGTCATAACAATTTGTTTTTTATCTACCACTCGTTCGGAAAGCTGTCTCATCACAAGAAGAACGAGCAAGAAACTTGTGTGTTGCTCTTTTAAATAATCCTTGTAAGTTTACATTTACAAGTCGAAACGTGTGAATACAAACTACCAACAAGCACTAATTTTTGGGTCAAATATAAATATGCAATAAGATTAAATCAGTCGTAGTGATAAGAGCAGACCAGTCCCTACAAGCAGCACTCGTTTCACGAGTATGACGGATGAGCCAGCCATCACTGCGCTCGACCATATTTTAGGGAGCCCAATGACCCGGCCCACCACGCCGCCACACGTCTGGACATTTTAGTGAGCATGACTACTCATTCCACACGACCACGTCACAGCTACAAAAATTACTATATAGTAGTTACAGTATTCGCACTTTACATACGGATGCATGCGGCAATCAATACAAAAGCCGCTACGCTATCATATATCAAGAAAGCAGTGTGAAAATTAAAATTATAACGTTGTCCGCAAATAAACTTATTCTTGCTATATATTGCTATCATCTATAAATTCATCTATTTTATAATAGGCTTTAGAACTACAGTAAAATTAAAAATGTAACTGTGTATCAAGATTAATAATAATAATGTGGGCTGCCTGAAAACCAGCGCTGTATAGGTGCACCTCATTATGGTTGTGCTTATCATATATCATATATCTGCAACAGTTGAGGCAGCTCCTATTGCCAACTTCTGTTATTATTTCTTATTTTGTGTCTTATTGTAAATTGTATTATTTGTTATGTTATGTTGGCAATAAATCTATTATCCATCTAATAATAATTATTATTTATTCTCGAATTTATTATTATAATTACTTTTTATTTATATCTTACATCGTTATCGTACATATAGGCTTAATTACAGATAGTATGCAATACAGATTATTTAAACCAGCACAATACAATATCGGTAAAACTGCATGTGTGTGCTATATTCATACAAAATGGCTCAAATCTCAGTGTGCATCACTCAAGGAGCAAAACACTGATTTTCAGCTTAGTCCTCAAGACGATGTTCTTTTTTTAAATAAAATAAAAAATAACTGAAAGAAACAACTGAGCTATGCCCTTGAGGGTTGGTGTACTTTTTTAAAAACAAAATAATAAAAAAAGATTCATGAATAAATTATATCAACCTCAATGCTATAAAGATATTTACAGGAGAAATATATTGAACATGTCTATCTCTCTTTACAATGATTTGCCTGACAATATGATATTGTTGAACGAGAGAGCTTAAAGTAAATTTAACCAAATGGCTATTGGGACATTGTTTTTATAGTGTAAAGGAATTTATTGAATTTAGTCATTTAATGCATAACTTTACTATATGTACATATAAATAAAATTGGAGTGTGGACATGCATAGGAATATAAATACGGTACATGCATCAAAGTAACATTGTTCCGGCTAATCTCTGAAATGGCTGGACCGATTTTGACGGGACTTTTTTTGGCAGGTAGCAGGTAAAAATTTTAGAAAAAAATAAAATAAAAAAAAAAACTTTAAATGCCTGACTTGTATAAAAAATTACATTTTGAATACTGTCATTTTTCTATTTAACCGACGAACTGTTATTACATAATGTTTTTTACTGTTTGCAAACAGCCGAGCGGATGGACGGTACCGAGCCATAATTGGTGGTACATCAGACGATCAGTCCCACGAACAGCGTCCGGGAGACCAGAGGAAGAATTACAAGAACAGACAGAGAGGTAATTTTTTTATTATGTGGAGTCAAATTCAAATTCAAATCAAATTAAAAAAATATTTATTCATGTAGGACATTTTAGCCGCTGATGAACGTCAAATTTTTATATTATAATTTTATTTTTTCCCTACCGTCCAGTTTGGTATATAGATCCAATAGCATATACATATATCTAAATATATATAACTCAAAGGTGACTGACATAGTGATCTATCAACGCACAGCCTAAACCATTGACGGACCGGGCTGACATTTGGTATGCAGGTAGATGTTATGACGTAGGCATCCGCTAAGAAAGGATTTTGATTAATTCTACCCCCAAGGGGATAAAATAGGGGATGAAACTTTGTATGAAAAATCGTCAATTTTAAACCGATCAGGCTGAGACTTTGCTTGCATAAAGCTACTATGACGTAGGCTAAGAAAGGATTTTGATAAATTCCACCCCTAAAGGGATAAATTAACGCGAGCGAAGCCGCGAGCAAAAGCTAGTATATATATATAGTCGGTAACAAAGCAATGTACAAAATTAAATAAAATAGACCCTCAGCTTATAATAAATGTACATCTTTTTTTTTAATGGATGATAATGGTATGGTGTACCCGCCTGCACTAACGGTATACGCTGGCGGGGCACCAGTGGAGGATGATAGAGTGAGAATGAGGTCAGGTCAGTTACCCCACCGTGATAAATTCACCAGGAATTTATCACGAAGGTTTCCAGTGGGAATCGCGTGGAGGTCACGTAGGTGTATATGGCGAGAGAATAGAATAGAATAGAAAATCCTTTATTCAAATAAACTTAATTTAAACACTTTTGAATAGTCATATTTTCTTTTCGGAGAGCTGTCTCATCATTCTTGTGCACGAGCAAGAATCTTGCGTGTTGCTCTTTTAAATAATTTTGTTGTTACTTTACATTTTAAGTGGAAATGTGTGAATACAAACTACCAACTAGAACTAGTTCAATTAAATACTCAAATAGAGAAAATATTACATGTAAATAACTTTTGAATGTGATTAAAAATTAGGGTAAAAAATAAAACTTTGAGGTACCATTGAATGCCATACCATTGAAGATAAAGTTTCATAAGAATTGGTCTAGTTTCTGCGGAATGTTGTTACAAATACTGTGACAGAAGAATTTTATATATATTATTATTATTAATATTATAAACGTGAAAGTTTGTAAGTATTGATATTTGTTACTCTTTCACGCAAAAACTACTGAACGAATTTTGATGAAACTTTATAGTAATATAGCTTATACATCAGAATTATATATGGGCTAATTTTTTTATGGAAATTTCTATATTGAAACTTCACGTAAGTGAAACCGTAGGCACAGTTAGTAGGCTATAAATTTCTAGGCGGATCAAACTAGTTAGATATACATTTGTATCTGTTGTCTGAACTTAAGAAGTGGCTAATGGTTCATCTCGGTGGATTAATTAGAACCAACTCCGAATCCGTAGTGCTTTGTAAACAAAGTCTTCACAATTCAGTTTGAAAGCTTTCTACTATTTACAGTCTATCGAGATTATACGTGTAACTGTTTGTTTGTTTACTTATTGCTATACTTTTACTTTTACATACATTATATAAAAAAAAATAAAGGCAAATTCACACAATGCCATCTAGTCCTAAACTAAGTAGAGCTTGTGATATGGGTACAAGAAAACTGATATATATATATATATATATATATATATATATATATCAGTTTTCTTCTGGGTATTTTCTATTATATTAGTTATATATATATATATATATATGTAACTAATATAATAGAAAATACCCAGACTGCAAACAATGATACTAATGAATACAAGAACAACTGATATAAACAGTTAGATATTTTTGTAGACATAGATACATCTGTAATATACATAGAAAACATCCAGACCGATACAAACAATCATACTCACAAGTACAAATGTTTGTACCGTGCGAGGAATCGAACCCGCGACCGTCGGAAGTAAAGCGATGTGCTATACTACTAGACCACCGGGACCGTCCATATTTTATGTCATGTTATGATATAGGAAGACTTAACTTTCACTTATATGTAGGTACTATTCACTTTAAGCATTAAAACCGAACTGGGCTGTCCGCGCAATATAGTGGTTCTATTTTTAAACCTTGTACCATTAACTTTCTTGTACTTCAAACTAGATGGCGTTGTAGTTAATGAAATCTGGTTTAACAAGCCACGCTGGCGAATGGTTGCTGTTGACGGTAACAGTTGTTAAGGTAGCCTTCAATAGGTGAATGAATAGAATAGAATAGAAAATACGACGGTAGATTTGACATATCATAAGAGTCTATAATAGACCTACATGAATAAAGATATTTTGAATTTGAATAAGGACCAAGTATTACGTAAGCAATACGCGGGGGGGGGGGGGGGGGGGGGGGGGGGGGGGGGTTGTTGCTTTGCTTCATCGGTAATTTACTCTTTTACAGGATTGGCAACCCTCACATTGTCTTTACTAAAAAAAACAATTCGTTACTTGAAAAATGTTTACATGGGGTAAGAGCTTTGCTTACTTTTGCTGACAAGGGGGATGGGCGGTAAATTGTAATAAATCTGCTTACGTAATATTTGAACGGCCCCTAAGACCAAAACAGCACTCGTTCATGGGTATGACGGATGAGCCGGCCATCATTGCACTCGACCATATTCTAGGGACCCCAAGGACCCGGTATAAAATAATAATAGTGTATTTGTAATCTAAAAAATAAATTCAATGGAATTTCTAACCAGTTCTTCTCAATTGAATCTCTATACTAAACTAGACGGTAGGGAAAAATATAATACAAAAAATTTAACGTCCATAAAATAGAATGAATAGAAAATTATTTATTCAAATAAACTTAATTTAAGCATTTTTGAATTGTCATAAGCATAAGCGACTAAAATGGCCTAAATGAATAAATGACTTGATTTGATTTGATTTTATTTGTTTTTAAGAGTTGAACTAAAAGACAGTTGTGGATTTATAAAAAATATTTATTTCTACGGGCACAATTACAAGGACTTATTGCATATTGATAATGGCTAGCGAAAGAAGCAGTAGTGTTGCCATATACAATTGTTGTTTTAGACAGTATTGTATGTTATATATATGGGTAGGGTAGATTAAGTTATTGATGGATGGCTGCGCCCACTCTTTGTTGAAATTTTAAATATATATATAAATATCAATCACTAGTACACACTGAAATATAAAATAGCACTTTTTTATACTACGATGGTGGTAATCAAGAATACGGCCCATCTGATGGTAATTGGTTACCGTAGCCTATGGACGCCTGAAACACCAGATGTATCACGTGCACGTTGTTGACCCTTAAGAAACCTTAATATACCCTTCTTGAAAAACTCCATCCTGTAGTCTCGTGGGAAAATCTCGGCAGGAAGTTCATTCCACAATCTAAGTGTACGCGGGAGGAAGCTTCTCCGAAACCGTACTGTTCAAGGCCACTTAGGTTCCAGCGTGTGGGAATGAAACATAACACATACAAATACCGATCTGGTGACACTAGCAGACAAAATATTGTCGCGGACCTTCATCCCGCCCGCCGTTTAGTGGGGCACCTACATCGATTTCATGACCAATCAGGAATCCCAAATTTACCATCAAATCGTCATGATCGTCGATTAAATAGAAAAATGACATTTTTCAAAATTAGAAGCAAGAATTGCCTCCTTTTATATAACTCAATTAAATTAACCAGGCCGTCTTAATCATTATCTAAACACTTTTAAAATGATATATATATATAATACTTATGTGTAAATGTAAAACTGTAAAGGAAAAAATAATTTAAATAAATTTAAAAACTTTAATCATTTTTAACGCTTGTCTTGTAAAAAATGTACATTTTAAATACTGCCATTTTTCTATTTAACCGACGAATGTATTGGTTCATGATTTTGGCGGAGACGACAAGGCGAAGGTTAAAATAAGGCGTTGCTACTCAACACACTCAGGGAAGCAAAGAGTTTGCCATCAATTTGGCATTCCCAAACAAGCTGGAACACAACAAAATAAAAAAAATATTTTCTCAGGTAAAATCGACAAAGTTCGCGATGCCCTGTTTGGAAACACGGCCACAACTAGCACGAAAGCATCACCGAGCTTCAATTCCCAGGCGAGGGACATTTACGACGAGAATGAGGTAAATATATACCCAAAATAGCACTTAACTCGATGAAAATTAAGTCGACAATCAGTTTAATGTGTTTTTCTTTATTATATTGTGAATAAATCGTCGTGAATTACTTTTACTCCATAAATCTTTAAAAGAAGTTCAAGACAATTTTACGTTAAATAAATAAGTCCAGCAGTGGACGTTTTCCGGGCTGCGATGATGAAATAAGTACAAAGTCATAGGCTTGGATTACATATTTATTCCTTTCGGAGTAGAGACTCTGGGTCCTAGAGGTCCCAGCGCCCGTAATTTACAGTTAACGACCTATCTGGTCACTATCCTAGGGAAACAAAAGTTAGCACTTTCCTCGCTATTTAGATCAATTCTGTTTTCAAAATTGTTTCTCTAATATTTTAATATGATTATTTGTATAAAATTACTAATAATAATATTTGTATCCTTATAAGTACTACCTACCTTTTAAATATTTCATATTAATAGTCTCTATATATAATAAAACTCAATATGAATTTGTATGTTTGTCCTTCAATCCAAAAACATCGTTCATATAAGATGCTAGCTGTTTCATTCGACTACATTTACACAAACTTTCATCGTCTATTTCATTCCTTCCAAATTCTACTTATTAAGATAAAATATATCTTATTACAAACAAATAGACACATGTTCGCATTTCTAACATTAGAATAGATAAATGTTATTATTTTTAATCTGCATTCCACATTTAATAGTTTTATTGACAATAAACATTTTAATAGATATATTTATTGGTTATATCATTGCTATTACTAAAACCATTATGTATACAATATCCTGATTTATTCAACTCCTTCGATCATTATGGTTATCTAACATAATTCTAACTTCAATTGTAAACTGGGCAGTAAAGTTTACTGCCGATTTTACGGCTGTAATAAAATTGTTATTGCTAAACGTACTTTATACTATGTATTATAAGAAACTGGTTATTAGCGTCTGATTGCGTCTGATAGGGTCTGATGGCGTCTCTGAAGATGATAACAATCCGAGATTATATTAATGTTTTATCTACTTAGCGGTTATTGAGGGTTGGTTAATATTTATAAGGCTGGTGATATACAGTCGGTTTATCGTCAGACAGCCCATTTTTGGGTTGTACTTTATGGCAACCAAATGCGTCAGTGGTCAACCGAATGTTAATGTCGTTGGAGCAACCTAATGTTTTACCGATTATATACCGCCAGCCTATAATCTTGAAATTTAATCTAGGTACATAAACAACTTTGTATTCTTGAGTTGGAAAATGTAATCTGAAAACTTTGCGTCATTTATGTAAGACAAAATTAGATAGTAGGAACATGTCCAGTACTCAAATATAAACTAAGGTTTAATCATGAAGTTTATCATTGACTTTAGTATCAACAAATATGGGAACTTATTTGCTAAATCTATCCAATATTACTAAATTAAATGTATATCTTATCCAAGAAAATAAAGTTAACAAAACTAATATTTTTATTATTAAAGTAGATACTCGCCACGACTTCGAACGGGTATACTTGTCCGTCCGTATCTGGAATCACTCTATCTATTAAAAAAACCGCTTCAAAAACCGTTGCGTAGTTTTAAAGATTTAAGCACACATAGGGACAGATAGCGACAGCGACTTTGTTTTATACTATGTAATGATGTCAAACAAAAAGAGAAGACGATTTATTCACAATCTCTATTGAAATCTAACAATAATTATTGGAAATTCTTTATCATCTAAGTTCTAACAGTGTGTAAGTAATTTATGAGCTATTTTATAATAGAATTTCGAGACCATTAATTGAAGTGATCTTACAATTAATAAAACCCAAGAGAGCTATATAGTGAAGAAGTTAATTTTAAACACGTTTTCCAAATATTGCCTACCTGATATGTATTTACTAAAGAACAGGTTGCTATACAACCTGTTCTTTAGTAAATACATATCAGGAATACATATCTAGAAACTTTTGCCTAACAATATGAGAAATAGAAAAGCAATAAATGAATGTAATACGTGCAATTAATAATGGCTAGTAAGACAAACTAAATATTGTCTACTAACCTTACATTTTCCTATTGTTATTTAGGATATAAGATCAATATTTTTATGTAATTTTTTTCAGTCCATACATGATTTTTTTAACAAAAAGTGTTATATTTGACATACTGCTGCGAACAATGGTAGAACAAAGAATTGTATCTAAATCTTTGATATATAAAGAAGTATTCTAAAGTTAAGTATTTGAAAAGAATAAAGGAGTTCTTGGCAATCTAACGTCAAAAACAAAAATAGAAATAGAAATAATGTTTATTCAAATAAACTTAATATGAGCACTTTTGAATAGTCCTATTTCTTTGATTCTACCACTCATTTGGTACGCAGATTCATGACAATAAGAATTAACAAATTTGCGTGATGCTCTTTCAAAATAAATTTTGTTTCAAGTAAATACATATGAATCTTTCAATTTAGTTAAAATTTCGTATTATTTGACTTACGCATTGTTTGAACTTGACTGATGTTCTATAACCTTCCACTCGCACGCTGCTTGGAACCTACCTTATTTAGGAGACCGCTGTATCCTCCCAGATGCTTCCACCGAAACGAAGCAGTGCTTCCAGACTGCTTCCGTGTCTACATTATATAGTTATGCAACTTCAGGTGAGAAGTTTCCAGAATAGAGAATGCTCTGCTACCAACATTGGGAGATAGATTTAAAATAGTTTTCTTTTTCTTTCTTAGTATTGTTTCTATTGGTTGTGCCTGTTTTTTTCAGTTTGGTTCATCGGTGTATTTCATTTTTTTGGGAGATTTAGTCTAACATGAGTAATGAAGGTTTAATTTTAATGCAACTGGTTTTATTTATTAATTTGTATATTCAATAATAGCATCACCTTGTAGTCATTTTCATTGGGTTTGAGATATGTATTATTATTTGTAATGGGTTTTGTATTTTTTTATTTTTTATTACCTAAGATTGAATCATTAATGCAAATTTCATTCATCATTATTCATGTAACGATATAATTTACATATTCAAGTGTATATTTTTCAATCATTGGTTTTTAATTGAGCGGAGCGCAAAGTGGGGAATGATCTTAGAGACCAGATTTGCTCTCTTTGTAACGATACTCCTCCGAAATGGCTTGACCGAGAACAAAATTTCATTGAAGGTCGACATTTCGGACTCCGTCGTTTACCACTCAAAAAAGGTCGAGTTTTTAAAAATAAACGCGCTCCGCTCAACTTGTGACCTGGTGTGTAAACAACACACCGGTAACAAACCTAGTATATTTTAAGATCATTAACAACACATGTCGTCATAAACAAAGTACTCATATAATTGATATGTTCAGATGTTTTGGAATTTTCAGACACTGGGAAACTCTAGAGGACAAAGAATGGCCGATCCAATTAGAATGTACCAGAATTACGGACTGCACTCTCATATCCTAAATCTTGAAGACAAACAGATAGTAATTCCTGAAGACGATGATTCAGATATCATTATAGTTGATGAAGATTTCAATAGCAATACAATTGAAGAGGGCAAAGTGGATGAACTTAAGAATGAACTAGATGATGACATAACAACTACTGAAATGTAAGTTTTGCATGTATATACTAATTCTTAAAAACAACAAAGTAATTTTTTTAGATCTCAATGAATGAATGTAAGTAATGTTGTAATTTTATCTCCCTCGTTTTCACTTATATCTAGAGAATAATAATATATCAGGACAACTGAAAAAAATAACAAAAAAATATTAGTTGTCTAGTCATGTGCTTAGCTTGGGACAAGATGACGTTGTCATCAAAGTAGTTAGTGTTATGGGTACTAAATAGCTGATACTCTTATACAGTTTTATAATTTAAAAGGTTTAACAATAACAATTTAAGACGTAGGTGTTAAAAGCTTTGCTTTGCCTAGGTAGGAACTGCATTAGCATAAAATAACAGTAAGGAAACCACCACACCGGCCCAGGTTATATACAGAATACGAAATAACTAGGAGTATGCAGTAATCGTGAATGGAAACATATTTCACAAAGTTGTAAAGTATATTTCACAATTTATAAATTCTTTGCATTGTGACGCAGTAGGAATTGTCTCACCTACTGCTTTTAAGTTTCAAAATTTTACAAAAGATTCAAAAAGGTTAGTGTAATATACGAGTCAGTTCCAAAATGGGAATGCAAACATATTTCACAAACCTATAAAGTATATTTCACAATTTATAAATTCTTTCTATCCGCTTGGTGACACAATAGAAAATGTGTCACCCACTGCTTATAGGTTCCGAAATTTTACAAAATATTAAAAAAGATTAGTGTAATATACGAGTCAGTTCCAAAATGGTACAAAGATTCAAGAAGATTAAGTTTTAAAGTGTAATTTTAACCAGTGCTGGGACTGTGGTGTGTAGTAACCTGAGCCTGGTCTGCTGTAATCACTATGACTGATTTAATCTTATTTAGTTACTCAATCGGTTGGTTGTGTATTTAATATTTTGACACTAATGAATTAGTGCAATTTGGTAGTTTGTATTCACGCATTTTAACTTAAAAATGTAAAGTTCCAATGAATTAATTAAAAGAGCAACATGAAAGTTTCTTGATCACTCTTCTTTTAAAAAGAGAAAATTTTATATTCTAAAGATTTCAAATTGTTTCTCTACTTGTTGAAGTTAATTTGAAAATCTATAATTAAAAAGAAAAATATGAATATTGCCATTTAAGGACGTGTTTTCCTAAGATTTCTTTAGCCTCTAACCAACAACATGATCTGTGAATAAATCTGACTAATTCCTCCGGCGATTTTTACTTGAAACCTTAATTCAGTCTGGATTTTAAGCATTTATTATAATATATAAATGTTATATAAACTTCTTACTATATTTTCTAAATTTACTTTTTTTTTATTTAGACCTAAAGAAGCTTTGGACTCCAATGAATACGCGTGGATGACTACAGAATGGTCTCCTTGCGATGCTCCCTGCGATCAAAAAGGGCAAGAAGTCAGAGGCGTTGTTTGTCAAGTAAGTACCTTAATCTGTTTAACTGTAGGCACACATTTCAATGGCAAAATATAGTCAGATTAGTCTTTATAATAAAAATATAAACGATCTACATGTCACACAATTTTTTTGAACTGTTATATACCTGTTGGTCTTTGTTGACCTTTACAGCTTCAACGAACCGTCAGCTATAGCAGAGCGGATGTTACAATATACATTGTACGAATCTACAACTCTCATGTTACCTTTCTTCGGAGGGTGGCGTGGGCACCATAGACTAACCATAAACACTGATATTCATTCTTTTCTAGAATGAATATCAGTGTTTGTGGTGAGTAGTCTGGAAAATATGGCACTACTATTTCCAGGGCATAACTCAGTGGCGCATTCTATCAATTTTCTTACGATAGTGACAATAACTCACAATTTATTTAATTATTAAAATAATATATTTAGATAATGACAAATAGTGATATAAGCTATGTAAGAGTGGAGCCTCCTGACACAGGTATCTTTATGTTTAAAAGGAGCCTTCAACAACTGTATAGAATGTAATAAAAATTGTGTTGCCTAAATAATAAATTTTGAATTAGTATAGAAAATCATTCAAAAAGGTTGTCTATTGTACAATTTCATAATGGTAAACATTTGACTATTTCATTCGATGCGAATGATGTAGTTGAGGTCATCGTCTTCACCGGCGAGGACGGTGTCGTGTCCCACACTACAGAATATATATAGTTCTCCGTAGGGAAATTGTGAACTATAATTATTTTATATTGTATTAAATAATCATCTACCACTGGTAAACCATTGTTTTCTTACCCAACAGCACATAGTTAACAACACAACCACAACAGTGGAGACAGAGCACTGTCTGTCTCGCTCGCTGAAGTCACCGTCAGTGCTACGAGACTGCTACGGCGACAGGTGTGCTACGTGGTCGACAAGCGGGTGGTCACCGGTCAGGTGTCTTGCTAGCGGCGCTGGTAAATACTTGCTACATTTTTTTTTAATCAAAACAAATAAAAAAAAAAAACCTGCACAATTATCACAGCGCCAAAATAAAAGTAGCCTAAGTTACTCCTTATAACATCGGCTACTTGCCAAAAAAGTCCCATCAAAATCGGTCCATCCATTTCAGAGATTAGCCGGAACAAACAGACAGACAAGAATTGTAAAAAATGTTATTTTGGTGTTGGCACCGTATTTAAATTGCATGTAGTAAAAAACGGTTATTTCAATATTACAAACTCTAATTTTATTTATATGTATAGATTAAATTTGACGCATGTGAAACCGCGGGCACTGCTAGTAAACAATATTTCTTACTCAGCAATGGTGAAACGACGCGTGGAATGCATCAGTGATAATGGAACAGTGCTTCCGGAGTCATCTTGTGATCAAAGCACGAGACCGGAGAAGGTGATGCGGCATCCGAAACCATGCAAGGCTACCTGGACCGTGGAACCTTGGAGCAAGGTAAGATTTAGACCTTAGATTTCCTTGGTTAAGCAGCAAACCGATTCCCTAAATATAAATTAAATATAAATAAAATTTCATTTCATTTCATTTCTAAGTACTGAAATAAAAACTGGCTAATGATAAGTTTGTACTTTGAATAATATTGTATTATAAACCAAAGAATGGTAAACAAGCCTGCAGGTAGGTGGTAAGACAGTGGTCTATATGCAAGAACAGTGTATAAACCTGGTCGAGGAATTGAGATATGGTTGATAGATTTTTAAATTACATTTATGAAATAAAAATGTTTCAATAATGTACACGTTGATTTGAATTTTGTTCTTTTTTTTTGTTTTACGGCCATGGCAATGCACATATTTGTAGGCTGCCAGTTACATAGACCGATACCGATATTTGTGCCATGCGAGGAATCGAACCCGCGTAAATATATATATATAAAAACCTGTACCTGTACCTGGTTTGTAGTGTATAGGAGCATGCGGAGGTTTCGGTCGGCGTCACAGGGTCATCAGATGCGTGTGGCGCTCCGCCGCCAAGCGCCGCAGCAAGGAGAAGAGCGCCGGCGCCGCCTGCGAAGGCCTACCCAGGCCTCACGTCATCAAGACCTGCCAGATGCGCCCCTGCACCGCCAGAGGTGACATTTATTATTATTATATTAATACTAGCTAACCCGAGCGACTTCGTCTGCATCACATTTATCATTATATATCGCCCAATTGACATAATATCTCTTTAAATTATAGCCTATCTAGACACGCGGTAGCGTGTCAAGCCGAGTTTCAAATAACTGGCGAGCAGCGCCGTGTGTATATTTACACGAACCATTTGGAGCCACTTTTGACCCCCTCATAACTCAAAAACTCTTTCACATAAACCTGTCAAATTTGGTTCATATATTGAGACTTGCGAGATAAATATGTGTTCCAAATTTCATAAACATATCTCAAACGGTTATTTAGATATTAACGTCCAAATATCGTCATTTTTATCACTGATCAACTATAGATCAAAATTATAACCCACCTCCAGATGCCCTAGGAAGTTCAAATTCGGCATGCAGATAGGTAATTAGGTGAATATAAAGGAATATACTGTAGCCTTCGCAAGTTCTAAATATTTACAACAGTTACTTGTCGGTTCCTATTTTATTATTAGTAGCACAGATAACATAATGTTAGTAGTAACTAGCAATCGAAAGTAATAATTGGTATATGAGAACTGGCCAATTTAGATCTTAGGCTACAGTATATTATCCTAAGTTATAAGAAGAAATTATATTATATATTGTTATAAATACATTTCAGGACATACCATTGAACTTGGCACCCATTTAGATCTCATCTCTTTTGTCGTAGAAGTCAACAATCAAGGCATATATCATAATATTAAACTCGGCTATCATTTCACATTTATGTTTTTGATGGGATATATTATTCTGATGTATAAGCTATATTACTGTAGTTTCATCAAAATTCGTTGAGTAGTTTTTGCGTGAAAGAGTAACAAACATCCATCCTTACTCACAAACTTTCGCGTTTATAATATTAATAAGATATTTGCTGTGTGAGGTGTCTGAAATATATATGTATATCCTGTACTAGAGATCACCAATAACGTCCCGGCGACAAGACGTCAAGTTATCAGTAACCCAAGTATTATACTTTTGCCCCTACCCTCCAGTTCAGTATAACGATTCAATTAAGAAGAACTGGCAAGAATCTTGTGTGAATTTATATTGTGTACTTATGTAGGTGTTTATGTCTAACATTAAATGAAAATCCCGTGCATGAACAACTATTGCCATGTGCATTTGTTATTCAAGTAATCGTTTAGTAAGTTTGCTATATATTGCTATTGGCTTTGCTATAATAGGAATTTGAATCAGGAAATGATTTTTTTTACATGTTTGCGAGGTCCTACGCCTCAACCCACCCTTCGAACCGCAGCTGACTTTCACTAAGCCATAACGAAACTTTCTCAACAATTTTGGAAGTGATTGACGACTCTGGCTCGCTGACTTCCAATTTTGAATTAATATTTTTTTTATTGCAGATTTCATCTGTAGAGACAGATCCAGGTTTTGCGAGAACGTTCGTGCAATGAATATGTGTGCGTTAGAACGGTACAAAGAGCAATGCTGCAAGACGTGCGTCGACTGAACTGAACTGAACCAAACTGAACTATAGTGATGCTCCACACCATTATATGAGTGAGATGACTGTACTAATATAGAATGTGATAGAATGGGCTGGTACTGTGCAAAATGTAACTTGTTTGTTTTGTTATCTGTGGACAAAGAGGTGGTAGATGAACTATTTATTATTTATATATACGCCGCAATTATTTATTACAGATATCCGCCATTTGCAATGTTAATTAATTATTACAAAAAGGCGCGAAACCAGGCACGTATGAAAGATTCTTTCTCTTACTCATTCTTCGAAGTACTTTTATCAAGCGAGCCATCTTATTGACTTCCAATCACATAAAAATCTTATAAAACAATAATGTTGATTTTGTTTTGGATGTTTGTCGTTCTGCATAAAGATTATGACATTAAAAAACATTCTATCCATTGTAATAGCAGGATACATATAAAGTTATTTCATATTAAATGAATTTATTGAATGGATTGCTGGTATCAGAAAAGTGTTTTGTATGTACGCAGGAAATATATAAGTAACTAGCTATAGTTGTAAGATGCACTTAATATAAATTTAATAACGAGGGACCTCATTGTGGTCGCACCATAAACATCTTCGATGCACAAAATTGAATTAAATATATGTAAATGATGTCAAATGTAACCCTCGAATTGATTTATATGTAAGTAGGAATCAAAATATTTAGTGAAATGTTTTGTATTATAAATTAAAATATATGTAATGTAAATACATATAATATGAATCAAGCACAGTATGCTACGCTTAGCTCTCATTAATATCGATAAAATTTTGCACGAAAATTATAATTATTGCAATGTATGTATAGATAAATATTAAAGTAGTAGAAATGCCAAATGAATGCAAATGAAGTGAATTGTATTCTTGGTTATATTAACTTTAACTTTGAATATATTGTTATTGACAATTTAGAAAAATAATATATTTATTTTTAAATTTGTTTGGCCCTCGTAGATGGCTCCAAATCAAACTATTATATGTATATATGGATATTCTAACATATACTAATTAGATATATTGGAAAGTATATAATTAACGACCTCATTTCTAATATAAATAAGCAAAAAAGCAATACAATTCGCTTAAAAAGTTGTAAATATTTGCTGAAATTTAAAAAATATGTTTATCATTCGTTTTAAATTATATAATTTTACATATATTTTCATAATTCATATGTAGTCATTTCGTTTATACTATTAGAAAATACATGGTGCAGTATTAACAAATACGAAATATTGTTAGATAAATCAATTTGTTGTCAATTGTTAGATGCGTTAGTAATAAACCATTGTGTACATAATAGTAAAAACCTATACTTAATTTAAACAAATTGTATATTTTAAGATATATACCTATATCATATGCAAAAGGAATTTCCTGATTTCTGAACGTGTCATAATATATTTTAGTCTTTACTTTCCATGTTTAGCTAAATATTTAGTAAGTATTAATTGATCTGACTTAATTTTGATATCACATTGTGTTATAGTTAAATATATTTACATTTACATATATAATTTTCATGTTATTATTATATCAATCAAATGTAACGTTCAATTTAGATAATTATCAATGAAAAAGGCTCAATGAATTAACATAAAAATGTTTATTTGTAGTAAATAGCTTACAAAGTTCTTAATTTATTTGCAATATATACGAATTAACGAATTTTTCGAGACATGTGTAATTGCTATTGTTATAAAGTAAATAAAATAGCCTTGCTATCATCATAAGCCGATAGTATATTGACCGCATAAACTGTTGAAAATATTTTTGAATAGCTAATTATTTATTTTCTTATCCTAAAAGTAATTCTATAACTAATAAAATATGGTTTAATATTCGATGACTTAAAAAGTAATAAATTCATTTAAAAAAAATATATTCGAAATTAAAAGGTATTATTAGTTAATAAACTAATTTCTTATTCTTAGCTTAGTACAGATAGAACATTATTTATATAATATATAAAATCCCAAAATATGGAAAAAAAACACATATAAATAAATCGCATAAATTAAATATTCATGAATATGAAAGGGTCTAATTAAATTTGTTTTGTTCACATAGACTTTTAAATAGTATATTTTAATTAAAATAATATTAAAAAGATAGATTATATCTATTATATATTCAAGCTAAATAAATATAATTTGCAATTACAGTATTAAATAATGTTAATTTTTTTCAATAGATATATCAAGTGTACAGATATTTAAAACAGAATAAAAAGGAATTTTTTCCAGTTGAATAAGCATTGTTTCAATTATTTGTCTAAATTGTCTAACTAAATTATGTGTCTATTTATTTAGATATTCCAAAATTGTATATAAATAAACCACAAACATTCTAATATAATTACCATCATTTCTTGATCGATTTGCCAATAAAATTATGAGAACATATGAAATTCTATAAATATATGTATCATGTCTGTACTAAGCTGTATATGTTGTATATGTAAATTAAAAATGTAATACAATCTTTAGTAATCAAATATGTACTACACAATTTTCCTTAATTTATATTTATTATGTACTAAATTATTTTACATTATAATTAACAATACCTAATTACTTAGAACCATTAATTTTAATGCCCTGAGAATTAAGTCCAAATTGTATATTATACCAAGAATTTTGAAATATAAATATATAAGTAAGTTACAGAATTTGCTGGTTTTATTAATACACTAGCCTGTGTCTGACGGGTTTACCCATGTATTACATAATAATAATAATAATAGTCTCAGGACAATTCACACAGCGCCATCTAGATTCAAGTTAAGCTAGCTAAAGCTTGCATTATGGTTAACTAGATAACTGATACAAATACATAGACATATTTTTTTCGTAATTACATACATATTATCAACACAAAATTATGAATACAAATGTTTGTACCGTACGAGGAATCGAACCCGCAACCATCGGAAGTAGGGCGGTATGCTAAACCGCTAGACCATCGAGGCCGTCAATATACTTAACATAATACACATACACACATATTACACGTGTGTCCTTTATCTATTGAGTGGGAAATAAGGAATAGGGTAAATATTTTTTTTTATGTAGGTACATAAGTATTTTTTATTAATTCTTTTTTAAGTTTTAATTTCTCACTCCTACTCAATCTCTCAACTTTTAACTTTAGCATAATCATTCAGGTCCATTTTCGGAATATAAAAATAATCATCATCAAAATCGGTCCAAAGGTTTGCGTCTGCATATTGTCTATGCCTGATTTCACTAATTTAAACTTTTTAAAGGACAAATTATGGAACCGCAAATATTTTTTTTGTTTTTTGGTTTGCTGCTACCACCAATAATATAAACCACAGATAACATAATATTACATACAGATACCCCATCCCATACAAGAAAATGGTTCCTTCCTAACTCGGGCTATTCTTCGGGCTATTTTATTTCGCCACCGTAGCCGCTAGATGTCGCTAGATCTGAAGCAGTTCGGATTACTAGTGGGTGCTTAGTAACAAAGCATGAAAATAGATGGCAGTCAATTCAGCTACATGACATCTGTTTTGCAAAGATATGTATATAATAGATATGTAGGTTACTGTATCGTGTACCTCATTAGGGACGATTCAAGATTCAATGTAAATGTGTAGGTATAATATCGTTAGCCGACACTCTGCAGATATGGCTTATGTGCCAATGTATATACCTATTATGTTATGGTTTATTTTACATTCCATGCCTATTTTTTTGATATGTTGTAACGCGTCTGCGCTATACGTATAGCCTGATTTTGATACGTTTATACTCGTACGTATCAAAATCGGGCTATACGTTTTTTTATTTCAATCGTTATATGTATGAGACTGATTTTAGCTACAATTAATTTACTGGTATATACCTCATGTATTCTACGATGTACCCCTCTTTTACCTAATGAGAATTCCGCTATATCTTATATTGTTGGATCGTCATAAAATAATTAAAATAAGTTGTAAGACTATTGCGCTGCGTGCGGTATTCAACGACCAACTGCCGCCGGCCTCCCGTTACCCAACCGCTACCGGGGTATCCGTTGCTTAGCAACGAGCCAACAGCGCGAGGCTACCGGCGGGTGCGCCGCTATATATATATATCTACTTAGAGGTAGTGTATTACAATATATAAATTTTGTATCACAGTGTTAGTTGCCATATTTCTCCCATGATGAAAATTGATATGTATACTTGCCAGGTCTGAGGTAGGGTTGTTATCTATTTTTTATACCCCTAAGTCATAGGGGTGGCCTACCCCGAAAAAATATTTTTTTGTATTATGGACAATTTTTTTTTTATTTATAATGTTACATTGAAAATACATACACGCCTAAATTTTCACCCGTCTTTCACCAACCCCTATTTTTAATAGCGATATTCTTAAAAATATTATAAATGCTAAAGTAACTCAGTCTGTCTATTTGTCTCGCTTTCACGCCAAACATTCTGAATTACTCGTATATCTTTCAATATCTTTAGCGGTATAAACCAGGTTATGTACTACTACTAGTATTGTTAGTGAGGGATAAAGTTGATGAACAAAAATAAAACAATATTCGTATTAAAAATATATTCATCTAATATTTTTGGCATTATTTTTAAGTTTCTTCCAAATACAAGGGGTCTGACATGGGGTGTTATGTACCTACATTAAAAGATACTTTTTGAAATGTATGAAATGTATGTACCTACATTAAAAGATAATTTTTGACATGTATGAAATGTATGAAAGAAATGTATGTACCTACATTAAAATATAATTTTTGAAATGTATGAAAGTAATGTATGCACCTACATTAAAAGATAATTTTTGACATGTATGAAATGTATGTACCTACATTAAAATATAATTTTTGAAATGTATGAAATGTATGAAAGAAATGTATGTATGTACCTACATTAGAAGATAATTTTTGACATTTATGAAATGTATGTACCTACATTAAAATATAATTTTTGAAATGTATGAGATGTATGAAAAAAATGTAAGTACCTACATAAAAAGTTCATTTTTGAAATGTATGAAATGTATGAAAGAAATGTATGTACCTACATTAAAAGATAATTTTTGACATGTATGAAATGTATGAAAGAAATGTATGTACCTACATTAAAAGATAATTTTTGACATGTATGAAATGTATGAAAGAAATGTATGTACCTACATTAAAATATAATTTTTGAAATGTATGAAAGTAATGTATGTACCTACATTAAAAT